AGATGCAGCGTCGGGCCGGCAGGTGCAGCGTCGGGCCGGCAGGTGCAGCGGCGGGCCGGCAGGTGCAAGTGGCGGGCCGTAAGAGGCGGCGGGCCGATGGGTGCAGCGGCGGGCCGGTAGGTGCAGCGGCGGGCCGGCAGGAGCAGCGGCGGGCCGGCAGGGTGCAGCGGCGGGCCGGGAGGAGCAGCGACGGGCCGGCAGGGTGCAGCGGCGGGCTGTAGAGGGCAGCGGCGGGGCCGTCGGCAGCAGAGGCGGGGCCGCGTCAGAGGAGGCGGCGTGGCCGCGTCAGGGGAGGCGGCGGGGCCGCGTAAATGGAGGCGGCGGGGCCGCGTCAGGGGAGGCGGCGGAGTCGCGTCAGGGGAGGCGGCGGGGCCTCGTCAGGGGAGGCGGCGGGGCCGCGTCAGGGGAGGCGGCGGGGCCGCGTCAAGGGAGGCGGCGGGGCCGCGTCAAGGGAGGCGGCAGGGCCGCGTCAGGGGAGGCGGCGGGGCCTCGTCAGGGGAGGCGGCGAGGCCGCGTCAAGGGAGGCGGAGGGGCCGCGTCAAGGGAGGCGGCGGGGCCGCGTTAAAAGAGGCGGCGGGGCCGCGTCAAGGGAGGCGGCTGGGCCGCGTCAGGGGAGGCGGCAAAGCCGCGTCAGAGGAGGCGGCGGGGCCGCGAGTGAAAAGGCGACCCGAGAGGTCGCTAAAAAAAGGGCGCGCCTCGGGGCGCGCGTCGGTGGGCCCAGACAACGGTCCTAAGGTAGGACCCGCTCTATACCATGTGACAATAGGAAAACAGGAATGAATGAACTATGAACGAAAGCAGTACAAATATGAAACCCTAACTGGGTTGTACCCCCTATGGGATACCCCACTACAGCCTACACAGCAGTATAAGCTATAGATATGTTCTGACATGGATGACACTGGTTGCGATCCACACGTCCATCAGCTACAGTCGGGATAGAGGTATTCCACGAGGGACATGGAAGACCAAGGACAGCGGCCTGTGAGGCCTGGATTTCGTGCAGGAGGAGTTAGCGAAGCGCACGGAGAAAAGGACCTTGATTAGTTGATGGAGGGTGAGAATCAGCAGGAGAATCCGCCCAGCTCGGTGTATCATTCGCTAAAGCGACACGGCGAGGCGGAGTCTGTTCACGAAGGATCCTAGCGAGGAAAGACCGTACAGCACGTGGATGACCTGTCCTGTAACCCGCCAACGCCAGAACCCGCGCAAACACTGATCTCCTTGGCAAGACAAACAGAGTCGTGTGGGGCAAGGGAAAGCAAGTAGCCCTCTGGGAAGACAAAGAGGCATTAGCAAGGATCAAGGGGGGAGCGGAGGAAGACGAAGCAGTGGCAGATACGGCAAAGGCGAGAGGGCACTATGGAGATGGAACCTGGTACCTGCACTACGAGACATGGAGACAGTTATCAAGGAGATGCATATGAAGCTGGGCCACCACGGCCATGATAGGACGGCACAGCTACTGAAGACCCGGTGGTGGTGGGGAGGGATGTAGATGCAATTGAAGGAGTGGGTGGGGGCATGTCAGGCATGCCTACCGAGCTAGGCCAATTTAGCACAGGGCAGGGCCGGGCTGCAGCCCCTAATCATATGTGGGTTGGGATTCGAGTGGTCGCTGGATTTGGCAAGGGAAATGCCACTGAGCAGGAGAGGGAAGCAATATGTAGTGCTCATGGTCGAGCACATGAGCAAGTGGCTGGAAGTGAGGGCGCTACCAAGAGAAATTTAAAATCATGTAGGAGAAGCCTTCAGAAACAAGTCCTGTGCAAATATGGGGCATGTGGGTGGTCCTCAAGGACCAAGGGAACGAGAGCTTCAGAGGGATTTCAAGCAGCTACTGGTGCAAGTGGAGATTACTTATTGGCATACCTCACGGTACCACTCGCAGAGAGACAGGGTGACTGAGCCTCTAGTGCAGACCCTAAAGAGAGGGCTACATGGATACGGGGAACAGGGGAAGCGAGACAGGGATAGAGCTGCATTGAATTGCAGAAGGTTATGAATTCGAAAAGCAAGCAGCACTCAAGGACCACTTACCCTACAGCCTGATGTACAGGCGAGAATGAAAGCTACCAATGGGGTCCCCACGGTGCTGACAGTTACAATCACCACGGGAACCATTGAGAACTGCGTGGTGCTGGCGGAGGAGAGTGCATGGTACCTAGAAGTTATTATGCCAGCAGCACTAAAGAATCTTAACACTTCTCGATTATGTGATGCAAGGCGATATGAGCAGAGGCACGGGAGGGCACAGAAATGGGCAAGTGAGGACTAGGAGGTATAGCCGAGGTGATCAAAGCATGACTCGCTCGCTGTGGGCCTAGGGACTGAACGGTGGAGGGTGAAGGAGGTGCGGGACTCAGGGGTATTGGTGCTGGATAATGGCCAAGGCGCCAGGGTACAAGAGCACCAAACAAACACGGTGGCGATCCAAGGACCCAGGCATCCGCATCATGGTCCTGCGACACGTGGCAAGGAAGGAGTAGGTGGTGACCGAGGCAAACCAGAACTTTACAGGGAAGAACATAGGATGGCAAGGAAGAAATGCAGGGAGGAAGAGTAAGGCTGTTCTCCGACATGGGAGTGTGGGGTACTTTTCCATAACGAGTTCATACGAGATCCGGTTATGGAGGAAGCAATGGAGGTTGGTGAAAGAGGTTGAAGGAGGGATGCACAGGAAGAGGAGGGCATTGACGTCTTTGATGTGAAGTGTTGGGAGGGTAAGGAACGATTTTCGTACTGACCAGCGTGCTGGAGAGCAGCGAAGGCACTGGTGAAGGCAGCAGCAGCGAGATACCTGGCTATAGCAAAAGCAGGAGCAGCACAAGGAAGCATGGGAACAAGCATCTTGCCTTTGCAACGGCTGTCCGTTGCTGACTGTGTTGTTGGCCCTCGAGTCCTTCCCTGGATGCCCCACGTGACGTCCTTGCAACACCTCTCTCTCACCCACGTCCTCTGATGCGCAAAGCTTTACTGCACTGAGCAGCAATTCAACGAGCCTCACAATTGCGGTGCGTGCTGCGAGCTTAATCCCCGAGGAGGAGCATTAGGAGAGTCTCACGTCACTGCAGCAGGTTGAGACATGCGCGTGCTGTCCCATAGTTGTACATTCGGAGTGGTAGCCTCTTGTGCATGTGGTTCATACAACAGCAGCAGACGAGCTGGATTTATGCTCAGAGAGTTGGGAGGAACCAATGTTCTGGGATCAGTCCAGGGAGCTGACACCAATGCGTGTCTGTCATCATCGGCCATGCTGACAAGCACTAGCCAATCTTTGCATAGGAACATGCCATCTCAAACATCATAGCGCTGTAAAGAGATGACTGAGATACAGTCACAGAAATGCAAGTGAACGTATTATGGAGCCCCACCGAAGTAACCCATTCTTAATTTGTAACACACATGTTTTGTACACCTATCCGGAGCAATTTTTTCCTGCCAGAATTCCTTTTTGCTTTCATGTAACCATAGCAGGCCCCTAGATTCGTTTTGAGGTAGTCTGACGCCTCAGAGTACACCCCTCCTGGAACTCTGTCTGTCAGAGGTGCCTCAAAATTTTAGTCTGAAAATTCAGACAAGCACAACTTTTTTTGTCTGAACTGACAGAGTTGCCCTCAAATTTTAAGATGATGATGCAGCATCGTAAAAGTATATTTATAATAGCATTGAAGCTGATTACAGCATACCAACTCAACTGTGCGGTACGAACCAGTCAGGGTCGGCGGGTTTGCATCAGGCAACGTGCTCGTGCATCGCCTTGGTTGTTTTGTCACGTGCAACGCATGGGTTGTTTCTGCTGATTAGATTTCGTTTCGTCGTGTGTCTGATTACCGTTCTGTACCCATTTTCTCGCCTGTGTGCCGATTTTGTCAATTTTGCATTTGCGTTTCAAGCGATGTGATCATTCACCCGATCTGGTTGTTGTCACGTACAGTGCCAGGTGGGCCAAGTGCCACGCAGCTGAGCTGGCAGCAGGCAGAAACTGTTGGTTGGCGTGGCGTGTGTGAGCATCTGGCAGTGCCGCACGAAACTTTCATTACGAATCAGGAGCTTCGCAATTTCACAGCAGTGCATGCTGCAGATTTTTTTACAAAGAATCAGCATCAAAATCGCCAATTCTTTAAAATACATTAGCGATAACTTACATGTGACGAGATTTTGTCTACGAAATCTCGTAATCACGCAACCATTTTCTTAGTGTAACTGGGAGATATTCTCGACGAACGAGTGTATTCGGATGTCCCAGCTGTTGAAGCGTACGTTGCTCACGTCCTGGCACTCCACTGCCATCTCGGAAGTGGGCATATCGAAACGAAACGTCCAGGAAACTTCGTTTCGATAAGCTCGCAGAGTGCACCCCCGACACAAGTCTGAGGCTCAGCCTACACCCCTAAAAATTGGCTGAAATTTCAGAGGTTACAATAAAAAAACTCTGAAAAATCAGAGAAGGTACATAAAAAAAAACTTACAGTTCAGACCAGGTACCAAAAAAAAGTCTGAATGGACGCTGAATCAGCGTAAAAAGTCTGATATCTAGGGCACTGAACCACAGTAAGTGCAGCAGGGCAATGCCATCTCAGCTGCCATTTACACCGCTGGCCACCATGCTTGCTGCTTCTCTCATCAAGGTGGCACCAGAATGATCATGTCCCCTTACTGAACTACGTGCCGGTTCTTCCCATTATCAACGCACTATAGAAAAAACAGAAATGCCTAAACGGCCCTGAAAACACAGATGCCATAGATACCCCAGATACCGTAAAAGACCCGGGGGTATTAACAGTGGGATGTGTTTTTTAAGACCCGGGTCTTATCATATCACAAGGTCATGCATAAGGTCATGTGTTTTGGAAGCTAAACATGTCAACAGTACGTGCTACGTTTTTAGCGTTCCTACATGAAGGCACACGAGCTCCTACACACAAGCCCATCTGCACCTCACTGCCATGGGCGCCTGCCACCCTATCTCTGCCCCACTGCCATGGGCGCCCGCCACCCTATCTCTGCCCCACTGCCATGGGCGCCCGGCCTGCTGCAGCCCCCACGCGCTGCCGCCTCTGCTGGCGCCTGGCATTGTCGGCCTCAAAGTGCGCCAACGCTGCATCCAGACTCTGGTGCCCACCGTGGGGTGGGATGGGGTGGGGCCACCCACAGGGCGAGGCGGTCGTGGTGGGAGGGAAGGGAGGGAAAGGGATGAAGGGGAGAGGGAAGAGGAGTGAGGTGCGAGGTGTGCAGAGCACGCAGGCAGCTCGAGTGGTGCCTCTCCCCTGCAACCCAGTGTCCACAGCGCTATGTTGTATAAAAAGTGCCTCTCCTCTTGCCACACACGTGCTCCGTCTGCCCGCCTGACCTTCCAAGTGCGCCAATGCTGCTCGCTCTGCCGGGTCAGGTGGTGGGGCCAAAAAGGGGGGACGGAGGCTGCTGGACGGAAGAATATAGGAAGGAGAGGCAGAATGGAGGAGAGCAGCTAGTAAGTGCACCTGGAAGAAGGGCTGCAGCAGCAAGTGCACCTGGAAGAAGGGCTGTAGCAGCAAGTGCACCTGGAAGAAGGGCTGTAGCAGCAAGTGCACCTGGAAGAAGGGCTGTAGCAGCAAGTGCACCTGGAAGAAGGGCTGTAGCAGCAAGTGCACCTGGAAGAAGGGCTGTAGCAGCAAGTGCACCTGGAAGAAGGGCTGTAGCAGCAAGTGCACCTGAAAGAAGGGCTGTAGCAGCAAGTGCACCTGGAAGAAGGGCTGTAGCAGCAAGTGCACCTGGAAGAAGGGCTGTAGCAGCAAGTGCACCTGGAAGAATGGCTGTAGCAGCAAGTGCACCTGGAAGAAGGGCTGTAGCAGCAAGTGCACCTGGAAGAAGGGCTGTAGCAGCAAGTGCACCTGGAAGAAGGGCTGTAGCAGCAAGTGCACCTGGAAGAAGGGATGTAGCAGCAAGTGCACCTGGAAGAAGGGCTGTAGCAGCAAGTGCACCTGGAAGAAGGGCTGTAGCACCAAGTGCACCTGGAAGAAGGGCTGTAGCAGCAAGTGCACCTGGAAGAAGGGCTGTAGCAGCTGTGAAAGCAGGTGGCGGTTGGCCCCATCTGCTCCATCCTTCAGTTTCTGCACTCGGAGGGTGGGAGAAGATGAGGGGGAACACAGAAAAGCGTTGATGGGTGTTGGGTGACGAGGAAAGGGGAAGAAGAGGGGGCAAGAAGAAGCAGCAGAGCAACAGAGGGAAGAGGGGAAAGCAGCAACAGAAGCAGAGAGGGAGGGCGTGGGTGACCTGCAGGCGGTCGTACAGCTTGCTGATGCCCTCCTTGTGCCGCTCCGCCTGGCCACCATGGTGGGTGGGAGAGGGGAGGTGGGGTGCATGACAGGTGAGGCGCATGGGAGGTGACGCGATGAGGTGAAAGGAGGCAGAGGGAGCAGCATGGACGACGGGATGAGGCGGGCACAAGGGTTGGTGCGGTGGGGTGGGGAGGGGTTCTGTGCGTACCTTGGCGAGCAGGGCAGCGCTGGTGAGGGGGTAGGTGGCCCAGAAGTGTGAGAGCAGCTCCTTCACTGCCTCTCCGTGCTGATGCACGTGGGTGTGCGGCATGACGCAATGGGAGCATGAATGCGACAATTGGGGCGATGAGGGCATGCACGCAGCACATGGGACATGGGGGATATGGGAAGAAAGCACAGCACACGGGTTGTTGCAGAGAGGCATTACAAGGGATGGAATGCGAAGCTACATGCGCATAGCATCCCATGAACGCCTTGCTTGTCACGCCCTCCCCCCATGCTCTGCCTGCCGTGCCATGGGTGGGGGCATGAGGAAGCAACGTGCCAGCCACTGCAAGCAGCAAGGAAGTGCCCAGCACAAGAGGCGGTGGGGCCATGAAGGGGCAGCAGGCAAGCCAACCCACCGCGAGCAGGGAGGTGCGCAGGGCGTCGGGCAGCTGCTTCAGCAGCGACTGCTCCGCCGCCTCCCCCACTCCCCGCCTCGCCACCGCCACCTGCCGCCCAAACTCCTCCACCTCCTGCAGCCGGGTGGGTGGTGTGGGATGGGGAGGGGTGTTGGGGGTGGGGAGCCCTGGGTGAGGGAAGGGTGTGCCAAGTGTAGTGAGTGAGTGGTGGACACGAGTGCGTGGTAATAATGTGAGGGTCACCATGCTGTACCCATCCATGCTGTACCCATCCATGCTGTACCCATCCATGCTGTACCCATCCATGCTGTACCCATCCATGCTGTACCCATCCTTGCTGCCCCCATGCATTCTGCCCCCATGCGTTCCGCCCCCACCCCATGCATCCTGCACTTTAACCTTTTCCCCACACAGCTTCTCACCTGAGCAGCAGCAGCAGGCGCCATCACTGCCGCTGCACCTCCCTTGCCTCCCCCACCCCGTTTTCCGTGCTCCCTGCTGCTGCCTCCGCTCCCCCCCGCTGCCAGCTCACTCCGAAACGCTGCCAGCGAGGCTGCCAGTGTGGTGCGTGTGCCAGCTAGCGCTGAGTCAGCGGCGGGTGCAGGGCCGTCCAGGTCCATTGCATCTGGCGCAGCTGCCTGGCCCGCTTGCTGCTGTGTGTGCGCTGTGTCCCTCTGCGTGGCGGCATCAAAGTACTTGCGTGGGTCCTGCCGTGTGGCGGGTGGGGGGAAGGGGGGTGCAGATGGGTGGAGCGCGGATGAACGGAAGGGGGAGCAAGTGCAGAGGTGAGTGCAAAGGTTGAATAGGTGAACAGAAGCAGGAAAAGAGTGGGGATAGGGGTGAGAGTGGTCAGAGTGAACGAGGTTGGTGAGAGCATGTGAGCACCCGAGTGAGCGAGAGTGAGAGGTGAGCCAATGGCACATGGCATGGCACATGGCATGGCACATGGCATGGCACATGGCATGGCACATGGCATGGCACATGGCATGGCACATGGCATGACACATGGCATGGCACATGGCATGGCACATCACACATGCAGTGTGCCACGTGCCCCAACATACATACCACCTTTCATGCCAGATCCACGTGCCTGGATGGTGAGGGGGATGGTGGTGGCAGGGGCGTCCCCTCGGAGGTCCGCCATCACCGCCATCTCGCGCACCCTCTCCCTCCGCCACTCCTCCTCCGCCCCCTGCTCCCCTGCCGTGCCTGCTGGGAGGGGGGGGGAAGGAGAGGGACACGGGGAGGTTTGTTGTAGGGAGGGAGGAGGGGAGGTGTGAGGACGCTGGTGGATTTCCATTGAGATAACTTGGGAGTAAAGTCATGCAAAATGACCTTTTTGCTGAGTTGCATGCACCATAGCTTGCCATTCGTTCCAGCTCAAGTGCCACTGCAGCACAGCTTCGCCAACACCCCACTGTGCAGTCACCTGACCTTTCCTCCACCCCACCTCGTACCTCTATGCTTTCCTTCCCACACCACCACACCACGCCACACCATAGTGTTCATTTGTCAACAACACATTTCCCTTCCAATTGTTTTAACTCTTTTGCCCACTTCATCTGCTATGCCCCCTTTATCACTCATGTCACACCCCTCCCTCCACCTGCCTCCCCCCACCCGCCCTCCCCCTTGTGCCCTCCCCCTTGTGCCCTCCCCCTTGTGCCCTCCCCCAGAAGCCATCCCTCCTCCACCTGCCTCGCCCCACCCACCTCACCTCTGCGCCCTCCCCCTTAAGCCCTCCCCTCTGTGCCCTCCCCCCTAAGCCCTCCCCCGTGCGCCCTCCCCCCTAACCCCATAACCCCCTGCTCCCTGCCCCCTGCCCCACCAGCCTGGAGGGCCGTGGCCTCGGCGACGGCAGTGGCGAGCTCCCTGGTGTCCGCCACGTCCTCCTCTGCGCGCACAACGCACGCATGGGGGGTCGGGGGGCAGGGGAAAGATGAGAGAAGGAGGGTGCGGGCGAACAGCAGTGGCGAGCTCCCTGGTGTCCGCCACGTCCTCCTCTGCTCCGCCATCCACATGCATCAGATAAGATGGGCGATGACACGCACCGGGGGGAGGCAAGAACATGAAAGAAAGAAAGAAAGAAAGAAAGAAGGAAAGGTAGGTTTACTATTGGTTCCGCCAGGTTGCCGTTGGACTTTGGTCTCTTGGACTTGTGGGTCTTACGGTGAGCGGGGGCATGGGGGGCATGGGGTGGAGACGACAGGCATGGGGGGCATGAGGTGGAGACGACAGGCATGGGGGGCATGGGGTGGAGACGACAGGCATGGGGGGCATGGGGTGGAGACGACAGGCATGGGGGGCATGGGGTGGAGACGACAGGCATGGGGGGCATGGGGTGGAGACGACAGGCATGGGGGGCATGGGGTGGAGACGACAGGCATGGGGGGCATGGGGTGGAGACGACAGGCATGGGGGGCATGGGGTGGAGACGACAGGCATGGGGGGCATGGGGTGGAGACGACAGGCATGGGGGGCATGGGGTGGAGACGACAGGCATGGGGGGCATGGGGTGGAGACGACAGGCATGGGGGGCATGAGCAACACGAGAGACACGAGGGAGGAGGGCGAGGGCGAGTGGGCGTACAGCCTGACGCCCCTGTTAGACGCGCTCAAGGCACTGGTTGGCCGCACACGAGGAGAGACGGGCGAGGGAGGGCGAGAGGACTCGTGTGAGACGGGGGATGGGGGAGAGGCGGGGGAGCAAGCACAGGGGGGCGGGGACACTCACGGAGCAGGCGGCCCTGCAGCACGACAGCGGCGTGCTGGTTGATGTCGCGGAATATCGTGCGCCTCATGCGCACCTGCCCTTCCGCCCCCACACCGCTGCTGCCACCACCACCACCGGCACCAGCAGCGCCACCAGCGCTGCTGCTCCTGCCCAACTGCCCGCCCGCCCCTGCCCCCTCCTGCCTTGCTGTGCCCTCCTTCTCGCCCTCGCCCTCGCCCTCGCCCTCGCCCTCCACAGCTGGTGCCTCCTTGCGCCCATCCCTCAGAATGCCGTGGCCCTGCCATGCCATGCCATGCGCAAGGTAGTTACGCAAGGAGGCACAGGGATGGGGCACAGAGGTGGCCTAACGAGGTGGGAGTGGAATGGAGACGCGACAGCACCGCAAGCAGGCGTGCAAGCAAGCACACCTCGTCCTGCTGTGCCCCACAAAGCCCCACACACCCTTGCAGCTCCTCGCATGCGTCCAACCTTCCCTAGGCACGCAGGCATAAGGGCCAGGCAGGAACACAGGCAGGCAAGCAGACGGGCGCACAAGCAGGCGAGCGGGCAAGCAGGCGAGCGGGCGAGCAGGCGAGCGAGCAGGCGAGGGGGCGGGCAGGTGGGGCAAGACGCACGAGCAGGGAGGAGTAGTCGTCGCTGACGTCCGCCAGCACGTTGAGCGTTGGGTCCACCCGCTGCACCTGAATGGGGGGGTGAGGAGGCCACCGTCCCCACACGCGAGGGATGAGGCAAGAGGGATGAGGCAAGAGGGATGAGGCAGGAGGGATGAGGCAAGAGGGATGAGGCGAGGGGGATGAGGCGAGGGGGATGAGGCGAGGGGGATGAGGCGAGGGGGATGAGGCGAGGGGGATGAGGCGAGGGGGATGAGGCGAGGGGGATGAGGCGAGGGGGATGAGGCAAGGGGGATGAGGCAAGGGGGAAGACGCAGTGGAGAGGCAGCGGGAAGAGGCGAGAGCGATAAGGTGGTTGATGGCAAGCGGCAGGGCAGGGACGGGGATGTTGGGAGAATAGGCAGCAAGTGGGCTTCGCAAAAACTTGTGGCGACCGCAACAGAAGGAGCAAGGGGGTGTTGTAATTTCATATTTCATACAACATACATAGGCTAGAAGTGAAGCACATTTATAAATTGGGGGGTTGCTTAGTGTACCCTCCAACCACATTTTGTGGTTGGTTGGGATTGGTCCTTAGCTCAACCAATCCCAACCAACACACATTTGTGGTTGCTTGGGTCACAAGCAAGCTCACCCATTGGCCAACTTATTGGCCAATAGGGTAAGCTTCCCTCTCATCTCTCTCTTGCTCATTGTTTGTACTAAAGAGCCTCTTGGCTCATTATTCAATGTATCAATTCTCTCTCTTCTAACATGGTATCATGAGCTAATGGCTCACGCCTACCTCCCTCGGTCCTTAGGCCACCCTCTCCTCCCCGTTCCTCAGATCTAGCCCCACCCACGGAGCTGTCCTCCCTTCACGCGCCCTTTAGGTGCTGTCCTCCCTCCCCGTGCGCCCCCTAAGGCGCTGCCCTCCAAGGCACGTCCAGATCTGCAACTCCAGCGCCCAGATCTGCACTCCCCGCGCTCAGATCTGCAACTCCAGCGCCCAGATCTGCACTCCCTGCGACCAGATCTACTCCTCCCGCGCCTAGATCTGATCATTCCGCGCCCAGATCTGGATTCCGCGCCACCAGATCTCCTCCTCCCGCGCCCAGATCTGAACATTTCGCACCCAGATCTGCACTCCGCGCGCCCAGATCTGCACTCCGCCCGCCCAGATCCGCCCTCCGCGCGCTCAGATCTGCCCTCCGCGCGACCAGATCTGCACTCCGCGCGACCAGATCTGCACTCCGCGTGACCAGATCTGCACTCCGCGCGACCAGATCTGCACTCCGCGCGACCACATCTGCACTTCGCGCGCCCAGATCTGCCCTCCGCGCGCCCAGATCTGCACTCCGCGCGACCAGATCTGCACTCTGCGCGACCAGATCTGCACTCCGCGCGACCACATCTGCACTTCGCGCGCCCAGATCTGCCCTCCGCCCAGATCTGCACTCCGCGCAACCAGATCTGCACTCCGCGCGACCAGATCTGCCCTCCGCGCGACCAGATCTGCCCTCCGCGCGACCAGATCTGCCCTCCGCGCGACCAGATCTGCCCTCCGCGCGACCAGATCTGCATCTCCCGCGCTGAAATCTGACCATTTCGCGCCCATCTCTGCACGTCCCGCTCATTTGCCGCGGGCTGTCCCGCGTGCATTCGCCACGGGCTTCCCAGTCGCGCGGATCTGCCGCACGGCTGCCCTCTTCGTCCCCTCCCCTCCCCTCTCTCCCTTCCTCTTCCCATTGTACCCGCAGCAGCACCACCAGCAGCACCCTCCCCCCTTTCCTCCCCCATAGCATCGCCCTCCTCCTCCTCCACCCAACCCACCCTCCGCTCCTCCCTTCCTCCTCCCATCCTACCTGCAGCAGCACCAGCAGCAGCACCTGCAGCGGCACCACCAGCAGCACCCTTCCCCCTTGCATCCCCCATAGCATCGCCCTCCTCCTCCTCCACCTTCCCCACCCTCCGCTCCTCCCTTCCTCCTCCCATCCTACCCGCAGCAGCATCCGCAGCGGCACCAGCTGCAGAACCAGCAGCGGCACGGGCAGCAGGGCCAGCAGCAGCATTGGCAACGGTACCCTCGCACCATCCTCCTCCTGCCCTAGCCTCTACCCACCCTCATCTCTATGGCATTGTCGTCTGATTCTTCCGTCGACCTTGCCACTGTTGACGCACTCGAGTTGCTGCCTGACAACTCTGCTGCTAATTGGCACTCTTATGATCATTCCGTTGAGGTGCTCCTCTCCTCTGTTGTGGTCAGCGGCTACAACCTTCGCTCGGTTGTCTTTCAGGAAGGCGGTGGACTTCAGCCCGTGGCCCCCACCGCTCCTACTGGACTGGACCTGCCCCCGCCCACCCTGGCGCCGAGCCCTCTCCCCCCAGTGATCCTCCCACCTTCGCGCCGAATGTCAACGACCCGCAGAGCTCGGAAACCGCCATTCGCACCTACCGCACCAATCTCCAAGAGCACCTGCGCCTGCAATTGCGTTACGAGGACGACAGGCGCATTTATGACGAGGCCGCTGCCCGCTACAACACGTACCAGGAGGACCTGGACACCTACACTGCAGAACTTGCAGACTACACCACGAAAATTAATGCCTGGCGGGTTGCTGATCGGCGTGCGCTTGCCATTCTTCTCGCCACCATCCCCTCCTCCCTCAAACGCGAGCTCTCACCTACCTCCTCCTCCCACCTGTGGCGACTGCTAGTCGACCTTTTCGATCGGCAGGACGTTGCCACTCTTTACGCCCTTATCAAGGAGTTTGGAACTCTCTCCATGGATTCCACTTCTGGCGCAGCTGCTTTCACTCGCCGTGTCTTAGACCTTGCTCGGCGCCTTGCAACACTCGATGTGGTGTACCCAGACACCGTCATCTGCTGCCACCTCCTCGAGGGCCTCACACCTGCCTTCGACGCTCACAAGCTTGCTTACATGCAGCTTATCTCCAAGCACCACACCCCTGCCGAAGTCGCTCAGTGGATTATCACCACCGAAGCTGAGATCCTTCGCCACTCTTCCTCCACAGCCGCAGCAGCCCAGTCGCGCAGCAGCCGGGGTGGACGTGGCGGTGGGCGTGGGGGTGGCCGTGGTGGTGGGCGTGGGGGTGGACGAGGGGGATCAGCAGGTCGCGGTGGTGCTGGCAGCAAAGGTGCGGGTCGTGGTACGGCAGCTCCCTTTCCTCCCTGTCAGTACCTGCCTCGCTACGGTCCCACTCAGGGACAGCGCTGCGGCCAAACCACCCATGCCACTGAGACGTGCTTCAAGGCACTCAGTGATGAGTGGGTTGCCCGTGGCAACACCGCCACCCCTCCTCGCTGGTCCGCCCTCAACCCTCGCCCCACTCCCCTTGAGGTCCGTTCCTCTCCCCTTTATGAACCTCCCTCCTCCACCCACGCCCACCAGGCCCTCGCCCCTCCCCAGCAGCAGCACCAGCAGCAGCAACAGCAGCAGCAGCTTGGGAATCAGCAGCAGGGGTCACAGCAGTATGGGCAGCAGCTTCTCCTCTCTCAGCTCCAGCAGCAGCTCCAGCATCTCCAGCAGCAGCTCGACCTCCAGCCGCAACTGCCCCTCCTCCCTCCTCCTCCGGTTTCCCAGCAGCAGCCCTTTCCTACCTGGACTGCTGGGAGTGCTGCCTCTGCAGCCCATCTCTCGGGTGCGTCCCCGGCGCCGTCTGCAGGTGGCAGTGTGACCGCTTTCCCTTCCTCTGGTTTTGTTGGTTTATTAGGTCAACCTGAATCTGTTGCATCTCCCATGTACCCTTCTTCTGCTAATGAAACTTCGTTCCAGTACTCTGCCTCACCTTCCTCCACCATTGACTTCGTTCTGGACAGTGGAGCCACTGACACTGTCCTTCGCGACGCTGGTACACTGCGCCCTCTCCCCACACCAACCTCCCTCCTCGGCGCTGATAGCAGTTTTTCCATCCCTTGTCACAACACCTCCACCCTTCCCTGTCCTCTCTCTCCCTCAGGTACTGTCACCGGTCTCTACATTCCCTCCCTTCGTACTAACCTCCTCTCCCAAAGGTCCCTCCAACAAGCCATGATCACCACTCTCATCCCAGGTGGTGCTAACCATTCTGACCTATACCAAACCTCCACAGGTCGTTTTCCTCGCCCGCATTCCCTATTGTCCTCGCTCCCGTCTGTACACCCTTCGGGTTCCCCGCCCCCTCACCTTCCAAGTTGCCTCCCCCCCCCTCCTTCCCCCCCCCCCCCTCCCCTCCCTCCCACTAACCCACCCCTCCCCCCCCGCCCTCCTGACTCTGACTGTTCCTGTCGCTCCCTCTCCCACCCCACCATCCTCCTCCATCACAGGCTAGGCCACCCCAACTTCGCTACTCTGCGCTCCTCTGTCTCCTCCGGTCTCCTCCACGGTCTCCCCTCCTCCCTCCCTCCCCTCCCCAAATCCCCTGCCCCCCCCTGCACCGTTTGCGTTCAGAGCAAGCTCAAGCAGCAGCCGCACCGGAGCTCCCCCTCCGCTGCTACGCAGCCACTTGATCTTGTTCACATGGACCTATGGGGCCCTAATCCCTCTCCCACTCGCCAGGGCCATCGCTACCTTCTCGTGCTTGTTGATGATCACAGTCGGTACTCGTCCGTCTCTCTCCTTCGGACGAAGGCGGATGTCCCGGCTGCGATCATCGCCTGGCTCGAGCGGGCAAACACCCGTTTTGGGCGCCCTGTTCGCCGCCTTCACTCTGATGGTGGTGGTGAGTTCCTTAACAACCAAGTCTCCTCCTATTGTCAGTCTCGTGGCATCCTTCAGACTTACACCCTCCCTCACTCCCCACAGCAGAACGGCGTGGCTGAGAGTCGTGTTCGAGAGATCACCAAAACAGCCCGGTGTCTGCTTGTCCACGCCTCCTGCCCCCCTTCTCTTTGGGGCTACGCCCTCCTTACTAACCTTTACCCTCACCCCCTTCTCCCCTCCATCACCCCCACTGAGCTGTGGACGAAGGACAAGCCTGATGCCTCATCACTTCGTGTCTGGGGCTCTAAGGCACATGTCCTCATTCACCCCTCTGACCGCTCCCGATCCATGGGAAAGCTTGCCCCTCGTACCCTTCCCTGCATCTTCCTTGGTCATAATCCCTCCTCCCCTGACTACCTTTTCCTCCACCCACCATCCGGTCGTCTAATCCGCAGCCGGGATGTGGTCTTTGACAACTCCACTCCCTACTACTCCTCTCCCACATCTACTGACCCACTCCCCCCTCTCACCCGTCCCCTTGTCTGGTCTGACACCACCCCTCCCCCACTACTCCCTCCTCCCCCCATCCTCCCACCCCCCCCTTCTCCGCCGTCCCAGTCCCATGGTGCCCCTCCCTCTTCTGGTGACATCTTTGACCCGGAACCTCTGTCTTCTCCTGTCTCCCCCGCTCACTCCTCTCCTAGTACCCCTCCCCCCCCCCCTTCCTCTCCCTCGCCACCAACCCGTCCTCCTCCTTCCCGCACCATACTCACCCGGTATCCCCACACCAGGTCACGTGACGGTATCCTTGGTGCACCGCCTCCCGTTACCCTCTCTACCTCTACCCTCCCCCCTCTCTCCCCCCTCCTCCGTCACTTCTTCCAGGCTGTCTTGCATCAAGCCCCTCATGCAACAGCCCCCTCAGCCACCTCCTCTCCAGCAGCGGCACCAGCAGTGGGACCAGCAGCGGCAGCAGCAGCAGCGCCAGCAGCCGCAGCAACAGCAGGACCAGCAGCGGCAGCAGCAGCGGGAGCGGCATCGGCAGCAGCAGCGGAACCAGCAGCAGCACCAGCAGCGGCACCAGCAGCATCACCAGCAACAGTACCAGCAACAGTACCAGCAGCAGCACCAGCAACGGCACCAGCAGCGGCACCAGCAGCGGCACCAGCAGCGGCACCAGCAGCAGCACCAGCAGCAGTACCAGCACCAGCACCGGCAACGCCTCCACCAGCAGCACCAGCAGTCATCCGCGCCTTCCACACCTCCCTCTCTGAGGACTCCCATGAAGAGTTCCTTGACCTCCACCTTTATGACCCCTCGCTTCTACCCATCACGTTCGACCTCTCTGGCACACCTGTCTTCGCCTTCTCCTCTGCTCCCTTCATTTTCGTTCCTACCACGTACGAGGAGGCAATGGCGTGCCCTGACGCTCCGCTATGGCTCGCCGCCATCATCAAGGAGCTGGAGGCCTTTATCGGCAACTCCTCTTTTGTCGATGTGCCTCGCCCTCCCGCCCCTACGAACGTGGTGAAAGGAAAGTGGGTGTTTCGCGTCAAGCAGCTGCCAGGGGAGCCGCCCGTTTATAAGGCTCGTTACTGCGCCAAGGGGTTCACGCAGCGGTATGGTTTTGACTTCTTCGATACCTTCTCCCCTACTGCCAAGCCTGCTACTGTTCGCGCCGTGCTCGACCTCGCCGCTCGCCTCAATATGGAGATCCACTCGATGGACGTTTCTAACGCCTTCCTACAAGGCGTCCTCCGCGAGCTTATCTACATGGAGCGTCCAGCCGGCTTTCACCTCCCCTTCCCAGCAGACTCTGTCTAGCAGCTGCGTCGACCGGTGTATGGGCTCCGACAGGCCCCGAGGGAGTGGCATGCTAAACTTGCCGCCACCCTTGCTGAACTTGGGTTCCGCACCTCCCGCTCTGACGCCAGCCTCTTCCTCCGCACCTCCCCCTCCCCATTTTACATCCTTGTGTATGTCGATGACATGATTCTGCTCACTGCCGACCTTGGAGAGTTGGAGCATGTTAATGCTGAGTTGGGCACCCATCTCAAGTGCAAAGACTTGGGAGAGCTGCAGCATTATCTGGGCATGACCATCACTCGTGACCGCTCCGCCCGCACCATCTCACTCTCCCAGGGTCATTACTTGCAGCAGGTCTTGGAGCGGTTTGACATGGCCCGCGGCGGCGCCCTGACCTTGCCTACCCCATCAGCGTCCTCGCTCGTTTTGTTGGCGCAGGCAAGCATACGGAAGAGCACTGGCAGGCCGCCAAGCGTGTCCTCCGGTACCTTCGTGGCACCAAAGACTATGTCCTTACCCTTGGCGGCCCCTCCCCACCTCTTCTCAGCGGCTACAGTGACTCCTCCTGGGCTGATTCCCGGCCAGATCGTCGCTCCTCCCAGGGCTATGGCTTCTCTCTTGGCAGCGGCCTTCTCAGCTGGCGCTCCACCCACTCCTCGGCTGCAGCCCTCTCCTCCTGCGAGGCGGAATTGTATGCCGCCACCATGGCTGCGCAAGAGGCCCGCTGGCTCACCTTCCTTCTTGAGGAACTTGGTGTCCCCCAGCGCTGTCCCACAATTTGGTGTGACAATGCTAGTACCATTCACCTCACCAAAGATGCTGTGTTTCACGGGCGCTCCAAGCACATTGAGCTCCGTCATTTCTTCATTCGCGATCTTGTTCAGGCGGGGGCACCTTCGCCTCGACAAGGTTGACTCGGCGGCCAACCTTGCCGACATCTTCACAAAAGCTCTTCCTCATGCCGCTCACTCTTTCCTACTTCGTCTTCTTGGCCTCACTCCTCCTAAGTCGCCTCCCGCCTCTTGATTTTAGCCTTCTAGCCTTATGCATGTTGGGGGGTTGTGTTGTAATTTCATATTTCATACAACATACATAGGCTAGAAGTGTAGCACATTTATAAATTGGGGGGTTGCTTAGTGTACCCTCCAACCACATTTTGTGGTTGGTTGGGATTGGTCCTTAGCTCAACCAATCCCAACCAACACACATTTGTGGTTGCTTGGGTCACAAGCAAGCTCACCCATTGGCCAACTTATTGGCCAATAAGGTAAGCTTCCCTCTCATCTCTCTCTTGCTCATTGTTTGTACTAAAGAGCCTCTTGGCTCATTATTCAATGTATCAATTCTCTCTCTTCTAACAGGGGGGCGGGCGCGTGGGCAGAGAGGGTGGCGGGTGGGCAGAGAGGGTGGCGGGTGGGCACCTTTTGGCGCGCCTGGGCGTGCAGGTGCGGGTCGTCCCTCACGAAGAGCGCGAGCTCGTCATCATCCGCCGCCTCCGCCTCCGCCGCCGCCACGTTGCGCGTGCGAAAGAGGTACTCCGCGCGATAGTACTTGCCCCAAAAGGCCTTCTCCGTCATCTGGTGGTGGGGGTGGTGTGGTGAGGAAGGGGTGGGGGAGGCGAGGAGGGGGAGAGTGGGAGGGTAATGTGATGGCGTGCATGGAAGAGGTACTCCGCGCCGCAGTACTTGCCCCACTAGGCCTTCTCGCTCATCTGGGGGAGGGTGAGGAAGGGAGGGTGAGGAAGGGGGGGTGAGGAAGGGGTGGTGAGGAAGGGGTGGTGAGGAAGGGGTGGGCCTTCTCAGTAATCTGAAGGGTGGGGAAGGTGGGGGGTTTCGGGGGTGAGTGGAGGAGGGGGAGAGGGGGAGATGTGATGTGATAGCTTGCTTGCAGTGGGAACTGCCCGTGGTCATGCACGCCCCAGGTCGCCTTTCCGGACATCCCAGGGAGGGAGGTGGGTGGGGGGGAGGAATGGGGAGGGGGCAGCAAGAGTTGACTGAGAAGAGAGGGGGGAAATGAATGCGAGAGTTGATGGTTCGCATGGAAGTGAGAGTGGTAAGCGCAAGATGAGAAGCAGGTGCGAGTCACAGAGAAGGCGCTCATGAGTCAAGCTGCTCAAGGCTAGGTGTTGATCAAAGACAGAAACTAACACCCCGCCTCCTCCCCCCTAGCCAACCTCCCTCCCCCGCTCCCTCGCTGCTCGCCCTCGCTGTCCACCACCCACCCGGCCAGGCACGAGCTCCATGAAGGCGCGGTGCACCGCTGGCTTCTCCAGGAAGATCTGCCGCACCGAGTGGGGTTGGGGGGAAGGGAAGGGGGGGGAGGGAATTCGCCAGTGGGGCAAGCGCATGGACGTGCACAAGCAGTGAGATGAGAGGCGACATGAGTGGTTCAACAAGTTAGATGTGGGTGGACATTGGAATTAGCATGGTGGCATGCACAGCGGGGTCCACGCATGAGAATGAGGACAGCAAGTAGCCTGCAAGTGAGTTGGGAGAGAAGACGAGAGGCAAAACATTGGGGGGCGTGTGCAATGCAATGAGGGCGTTGAGAGGAGTGCAGACCTGCTGGATGATCTGCGGTGTGAGGTTGAAGGTGATGGTGTTGCTCTGTGGTGGGGGGGTACACACACACAACACAGCAAGCATACACAAAACAGACGAGTAGGTGAGGAAGAGGTGAATGGTGGTCCATGAAGCTGACGCATTGCTGCACCATGGCTAGTCCGCACCTCAACAAGCGCTAGTGACCTCGTGCTCTCAGCTCGCCCGACTTGCTTAGATTGAGAACAGGACGCCACACCCACCCACATCTATCACACAGGACTCCACAGAAAAGGCTGCCATGCTGAAACCCCCCCTCCGTTCCTGCTCCAGTGCAACCCTACCTACCATCACCCTGCCATCCACCACCCACCCTGCCGTCCGCCACCCACCCGGCCATCAGTGACGCCTCGGACGTCTGCCAGCATGGCACTCGCCACGCCCACCCGCTGCTTGCGCTTCCTCCGCTCCTCCTCCACCCCCTGCCATGCCACGCCATGCCATGCCGTGGGGAGTTGACGGGATGGGTTGGCGGGATGCAGTGGTGGGGATTGAATGGCACACGTAAGGTGGACAGAAGGATGAGGCGAGGGCAAGAGTGAGAGACGAGGGGTGGGCAGGCGCATGAGGAAGGGTAGGAAACGAGGCACAGGGATCATACGCACTCACTCAAGCCATGCACCCCACCTTCCTGGCGGCCCAGAACTCGGACTCGGTGAGAGCGCCCGTCATGACCAGCTCCTGATGCAGCCGCCTTAGCTTGCTGCTCGCCCCGTGCAGCAGAAAGTATGGAGGGCAAACAGCATGGGGAGGAAACGGCATGGAGATTGGAAACAGCATGGCGGTAGGGCATCCACATGTGTATGGCTGCCTTCATGTGGCGTGCACTGTTGCAGTGCACACACACACAGACGAACAAACAAGCACACAGCAGACCAACCAAGCAGGTCTCCCCTCTCTCCCTCTCTCTCCTCCCATCCACTGCCCCCATCCACCCCTGCATGCTCCACCCCAACCACACACGCACGCATCAGACTGCAGCAGCTTCTGCCGGCGCTGCAGCTCTGCCGGATCCAGCAGCTCCATTGCCATCGCACCAGGCAGCCCGGCCGGCAGCCCAGGCGCCATGCCACGCACCGCCCCCGCGCTCACCCCTCCAGCTGCTGCTGCTGCTGCTGCTGCTGCTGCTGCTGCTGCTGCAGCGGCAGCAGCAGCGGCAGCGGGATGAGCAGGGGGGAGGAGTGGAGAGGCGGAGCCGGAGAGAGCGGTGGGCGGAGGAGTGGATGGCGTGGGGGCGGAGGCGGGTGCTGACGTGCTCTGGTACTTGGCCTGGTAGGCACCTGCCGTCATGCACGAGGTGTGGTGAGTCATGATAAATAAGTCACTACAGGTGATGGGTTGATGAGGTGGGGGAGGGTGATGAAGGCATGGCATAAAATACACTCACGGGAGCAGAGCGAATGGCATTCATGCACACAACGAAGGCAAGCTGCAGTACACCGGAAAAAACTTGGCCAACCCAGTGCCTTTCACTTACACCCTCCTCCTCAACTCCTGGGTGACATCCTGGGTGAGTGATATTTTGCGATGTCGCGAATTGTTACCCTGCTGTAACCGCGCAGACCGCACAAACACGACCGCCCCCCTCTCTATCGTTTGTATACACGCAATGCCTGCCTCTCCAGCCTTAAATTCGCTTACTGTAATGCAAGCAATGCGCCTTGGATCGCTTGGAGGAGAACTGCTCACCTCAAACCGAACCTACATTCATAATCTCAATCCAGCTCTAGTCAAACCAATCTCTGCTAAACTTCAACTGGCCTGGCCCGAACGATTCGAAGGTTCAACGCAATTGTAACGAATTACTCTGACTGGCGAGCTAGTGAGCCACAACGAGAGTCAGGCGCCCACTTGAGCTGTGAAACCGAATCTCTGGCTTGGCTTGTCAGCCTGGCAGCTCCTCCTGGGTTGAACTGGCTCCGCTTCAAACTATGTTAACGCGTGGCTACCATGAGGTGGCTTCGAATGAGGGCTGATGAGGAGAGCAAACAAGCAAAAGAGGTGGGAGGAGAAGCTGTGTGGGGAGAGAGGTGGCGACGGAAACTGCTGGAGTGGTGCAGGTGGGCAGGAAAAGCATGGCAGGGCAGTGGTCGCGTACTGTAGACATCTCTGGCCTTGTCACGATCAGCGAACGAGGAGAAGACAAACATGTATCCGCCCTCCGCCTGCATGGCGCATGCACAACACATGACACACACACACATGTGTAGGCCAGTGCAAGGGCACACAGCAACTCCCATACAGAGTGCAGAGAATAAGTACTCGCATAGGCATGGCACGGCATGGCATGCCATGGCAACGCATGGCCTGCGGTGCCGGCTCCCTAACAACATGGTTCACATGGGTGTCACTAGTACTGAATGAGGGCGCTTAAGCGGATGACGAGGAAGGGATGAGAGCACGAGGGAGTGAGGGGATGAGAGAATGAGCGGTTAAGGGGTGGGAAGATGAGGGGGTGAGGAGGTGTGGGGGTGGCAGGGTAGGGGTTGTGGGGCTGACGAAATGGAGGCGTGAGGGTGTGAGAGAATGCAGGAATGAGGGGTTGATTGAAGGGGTGTGAGAGAATGCAGGAATGAGGGGTTGATTGAAGGGGTGTGAGAGAATGCAGGAATGAGGGGTTGATTGAAGGGGTGTGAGAGAATGCAGGAATGAGGGGTTGATTGAAGGGGTGTGAGAGAATGCAGGAATGAGGGGTTGATTGAAGGGGTGTGAGAGAATGCAGGAATGAGGGGTTGATTGAAGGGGTGTGAGAGAATGCAGGAATGAGGGGTTGATTGAAGGGGTGTGAGAGAATGCAGGAATGAGGGGTTGATTGAAGGGGTGTGAGAGAATGCAGGAATGAGGGGTTGATTGAAGGGGTGTGAGAGAATGCAGGAATGAGGGGTTGATTGAAGGGGTGTGAGAGAATGCAGGAATGAGGGGTTGATTGAAGGGGTGTGAGAGAATGCAGGAATGAGGGGTTGATTGAAGGGGTGTGAGAGAATGCAGGAATGAGGGGTTGATTGAAGGGGTGTGAGAGAATGCAGGAATGAGGGGTTGATTGAAGGGCTGTGAGAGAATGCAGGAATGAGGGGTTGATTGAAGGGGTGTGAGGGAGTGAGTGGGTGACAGCGTGAGGGGTTGAGGGGTTGAAGAGGGGGTGAGGGGGAGAGGCAGGCACACGGCACGCACAGCAGGGTCGGCATGGGGGCTGAACTTGAGCAGCGCTGTGGTGGCCGAGGGCGTCTCCTTGCTCCACCTGTGCGCTGCATGCCCGTGCCATGCCATGCCATGCCATGCCGTGCCACACACACACGCCACACACATTTGAGCATGGACAGGGAGCAACGGGAGAGTTGACAGCATGTGCGTGGCAGTGCGAGGACGACAGGGGAGGGCCTGAAAGAGCAATGGCAGCAGAAGAGAGAGTGCAGGGCGACAGGTGTGGTGGGCAATGGAGGCAAGACAAGGCAAGCGGCAGCTCTCACGGCACTCTGTATGCATGCGCTGCGCGCACTGGATGGTGGCCTGGCCTGCAAGGACCGCTCACTGCATGGTGGCCTGGCCTGCAAGGGGCTCATGAAGAGGCTCACACTTGATGCTGGCAAGAGGCACGTCGAGCCTTGCTGCTGCCGATGGGTTGGCTGGCACCCAGGAGAAGCACGTGGGGGTCTGTGTGCATGCACCAACACATGCATGCACATGCATATGCGCACACATAAGCACATGCTCCCACACACAAGAACATGCACATGCTCCCACACACAAGAACATGCACATGCTCCCACACACAAGAACATGCACATGCTCCCACACACAAGAACATGCACATGCTCCCACACACAAGAACATGCACATGCTCCCACACACAAGAACATGCACATGCTCCCACACACAAGAACATGCACATGCTCCCACACACAAGAACATGCACATGCTCCCACACACAAGAACATGCACATGCTCCCACACACAAGAACATGCACATGCTCCCACACACAAGAACATGCACATGCTCCCACACACAAGAACATGCACATGCTCCCACACACAAGAACATGCACATGCTCCCACACACAAGAACATGCACATGCTCCCACACACAAGAACATGCACATGCTCCCACACACAAGAACATGCATGCACACCCATCCATGCACACGGGTGGGTATGCCCGCACACAAACGCAAACAGATGCTGTGACGTCTTAAGGACAGCACAGCACACACATCCATGCACACGTAACGGTCAGCCTGGCAACCGCGAGTCTTTGCGACGCCATTCCGTTCTTAATTCGCTTCTTTCCTGCCTTCCTGCTTTCATGCATTCTTCTTGATTTTCTGGGCGCATTGAAACATCGACTGCTGTCGGGCCGCCGTGCACCCCACTCCCGCCGAGCGGTGAAGGCGAGCGCGACGAGGATGCGGAGCGCTACAGCGATACCGACCAAACTAGCGAGCATGCGTACCACAGCGATAACGCCGCCTGCAGCGCATCCTACCATGGTGATCACGCCGTCTGTGGCGGGGCCCTTGGCTGCCGGCTTGAGCTTGGCGCGCGATGACAGCACCACCTCCATCGCACGCAACTGCTCTCACCACACACTTGGGTCGGGCGCTGCAAAATACACCCGTGCGGGTCAATGGGGTTGCGGATTGGTATGTTGTCTCCAACTAAGCCACTGCTGTTCCTGCCACGCCACACATGAACAAGGAGAGGGAAGGAAAGGTTGGGTTGAAGGGCTGTGTGGGAGATGCAGTCACTCACACATTGTGGCACCAGTGAATTCACTCTTCTCTCTGGCAACTCACTCCCTGTTCCCTCCCCTCCCCTCCCCTCCCCTCCCCTCCCCTCCCCTCCCCTCCCCTCCCCTCCCCTCCCCTACCCTTCCCTCCCAACCCCTCCCCTCCCCTCCCCTCCCCTCCCCTCCCCTCTTTTCCCCTCCCCTTCCCTTAACTCCCCTCCCCTCCCCTCCCCTCCCCTGACCTCCCCTGACCTCCCCTGCCCAACTCTTCCCCGCCCCCCTGCCTTGCCATCTCTTGTTTTCCCCTCCCCCTGCCCTATGTACCTTGCCCTCCCCCTGCCCTATGTACCTTGCCCTCCCCCTGCCCTATGTACCTTGCCCTCCCCCACTGCACTTCCCTGTCCTCCCATTCCCTCTCTTCCCCTCCCCTGCTCTGTCTTCAACTCCCCTTTCCAGCCCTCCCTGCCCTCCCTACCCGTTCCTCCCCGTCCTGTCGCACTCCCGTCCCGTCCCTATCCTTCCCATCTCTCCCTTTCCCGTCCCCTTCCCGTCCCTTTCCCGTCCCCTTCCCGTCCCCTTCCCGTCCCCTTCCCGTCCCCTTCCCGCCCCCTTCCCACTCCATATGCGCTCCTTCCGGTCCTGGCCACTCCACTCTCGCCCCGTTTCGTCCAAACAGTCCCGAACCGACCCATCCTGCGGCCTGCCTCGTCCCGTCCCCTCTCATCCCCTCCCGTCCCCTCTCATCCCCTCCCGTCCCCTCTCATCCCCTCCCGTCCCTTCTCATCCCCTCCCGTCCCCTCGCATCTCCTCCCGTCCCCTCGCATCCCCTCCCGTCCCCTCCCATCCCCTCCCGTCCCCTCGCATCCCCTCCCGTCCCCTCTCATCCCCTCCCGTCCCCTCGCATCTCCTCCCGTCCCCTCGCATCCCCTCCCGTCCCCTCCCATCCCCTCCCGTCCCCTCGCATCCCCTCCCGTCCCCTCTCATCCCCTCCCGTCCCCTCGCATCCCCTCCCGTCCCCTCTCATCCCCTCCCGTCCCCTCGCATCTCCTCCCGTCCCCTCCCATCCCCTCCCGTCCCCTCGCATCCCCTCCCGTCCCCTCTCATCCCCTTCCTGCCCCCTTACCCCCCCCCTTCCCGCCCCCTTTCCCCCCCTTCCCGCCCCCTTCCCGCCCCCTTCCCGCTCCCTTCCCCCACTTCCCCCCCCCCCCTTCCCCCCCTTTCCCTTCCCTTCCCCCAGCTTCCCCCCCCTCCCCCCCCCTTTCCCCCGCCCTTCCCCCCTTTCCCGCTCCTTCCCGTCCTGGCCACTCCACTCTCGCCCCATTTCGTCCAAACAGTCCCGACTCGACCCATCCTGCCCCGTCCCGTTCCCTCTCATCCCTTCCCCTCCCCTCTCATCCCTTCCCCTCCCCTCTCATCCCCTCCCATCCCGACCCATCTCGTCTCGTCCCCACCTGTCCAATCCCATTTAATCGCCCATCCCGTTCTGTCCAGATCGTGCCCGTCTCGTCCTGAACTCCTCTTTTGTCCGTCCAACTCCTCAAGGAGGGAAATTCCTTTCCCGCCCCGACCATTCCCGCCCCGTCCCTTCCCGCCTCGTCGCTTCCCGCGCCGTCCCTTCCCGCCCCGTCCCCTTTCCGCCCCGTCCCTTCCCGTCCCATCACTTCAGAAGCCGTTATGTCCGTACTCTAATGCATGACATTCGTCGAGAACAAAGAATACACTCGCCATGACTCACAAAGTGCGGATAGTAGCGCCACGACCTCTCCTCTCTTTGCTTTACTTGAGGTAGTGTTCTCAGCTCCCGTAATACGTTTCTTCTGCTCGGTTTTTGCCTCTGTCGTCTCGATACTCGCTGCTGCCGGGGCGACGATCTTTGGGATGGGGTGGTGCGTGTTATGAATTTCAGTTGGGACTAAGGCGTGGTCGTTCTGCCAAGACTGTAAACAATTTGGTAATTTCAATGCACTGCAAAAGTTGGAGTAAAAAATGTTACAATCAAGTTGGGGTGGTACGATGAACTAAACTGTAGGCGCGTACCGAACTGCTGCCACAGGTTTCGCCAGAAGTTGCTGGAGAATTTCGTGTCTCTGTCGCTGATGATTGATGTTGGTATCCCGTGCAGTCAAACGACGGTAGAGATGAAGAGGCGGGCTGTTTCTTCGGCTGTAATTGATTTTTTGCAGGCTGCGAAGTGTGCCATTTTCGTCAGTCGATCGACGACGACCAGGATCGCGTCATTTCCACTCGCCCCGGCCGGTAACCGCGTGACGAAGTCCATCGTCATCTGCTGCCAAGCACGCTCTGGAGGTGGGATTGGCTGCAACTGTCCCGCCGGCCGCTTCCGTGTTGACTTCATGATCTGGCAAGTGGGACACGATGCCACGTGCCGCTGCACGTCGGTCAACATTTCGGGCCAGTAATACCGCTGCAGCTGCTGCCGTGTTTTCTCTACCCCGAAATGTCCCGAGGTAACCCCGTCTTGTGCCTCCTGTAATAGTAATTCCCTTAGCAGTGTGTACCCTGGTACCCAGATGCGCTCGGTCCCGGCTTTTACGTAATAGACTCCCTTGGCTGCTGCGAACTGCTGCGAATTTCCTCCTATGAAGAATGGGTCCGTTTGATATCCGTGGGTAAATATGACAAAATTAGAAGAAAGAAAGAGGAATGAACTAGCAGAAATGGGGATACAAATAGCAAACCCTAGAAGGGTTGTACTCGCTATAGAGCACCCCACTACAGGCTAGAACATAAGAATAATATTCTGACACACCCCCATAGCCAAAGTGGGGTGTAATCAGCAGAGCAGGCAAAGTAGTACAAGCTCAGGGTGGATCACAATGTCACCACACATTCTGAGCACAAGTTCAAGAAGAGATAGTTTAGAGTTCACAATTATGAGCAGAGCTAGTGGTAGTCACAACGGGCAAGTGAGGAGGAGGAGAGAGAGTGAGGGGAGAGGAGATAGGAGGCGACGGCTGAAGCTGCAGGCACACGGGCAACAGGAGGCACACTGGCACAGCGGCTACCGGACAGCGCCCGGACTACAGGAGTAACAGGCCCCGCGGCTCAAATAGCGGCGGACGGGCAACGGACCCACGGGCGGCTGGCACAGCTGGCTACGACTGGGCTACCGGGACAGCGCCCCGGACTACAGGTGCTGCGAACGACAAACTGACAACCTCCACTCAACCTCCCGCACACAGTCCCACCCCCCTGATTCACACCCACTGCTACACCGCTAGCTGCACTCCCACGCACCCCCCTTAAACCCTAAACCCGAGTCTCCCACACAACCACCCCCCTCAGCGACAGCTGCAGCAGTGGGAGACGAAGGAGGAGGAGGAGCAAAGGGAGGAAGGCACACCGAGCACCCCCATACCCGCCACCCCACAGCTCGCCGTGTGGTGAAAGGGGCCCACCACGGGCCTGGTTGGAGGGCGGGGCCGCGACAAGGGGCGGGGCCGCGACGAGGGGCGGGGCCGCGACGAGGGGCGGGGCCGCGACGGTCGGGCAAGGCCGCTTCGAGGGGCGGGGCCGCGACACAGGGCGGGGCCGCGACGTAGGGCGGGGCCGCGACGGTCGGGGCGGGGCCGCGACGTAGGGCAGGGCCGCTTCGAGGGGCGGGGCCGCGACGCAGGGCGGGGCCGCGACGTAGGGCGGGGCCGCGACGTAGGGCGGGGCCGCGACGTAGGGCGGACGCCCGCGAAGGTAGGGCAGACGCCCGCCGCGCGCCTCGGGGCGCACAGCGGGCAAAGAACCGCCGCGCGCCCCGGGGCGCACGACGGGCAGAAAACCGCCGCGCGCCTCGGGGCGCACGGCGGGAAGGAAAACCGCCGCGCGCCTCGGGGCGCACGGCGGGAAGGAAAGGTAGCAGCGGAAGCGAGGTGGAAACCCACCCACAGGATCGATCCAAGGGGATCGACCTGCTCTGATAGCATGACAAAATTAGAAGAAAGAAAGAGGAATGAACTAGCAGAAATGGGGATACAAATAGCAAACCCTAGAAGGGTTGTACTCGCTATAGAGCACCCCACTACAGGCTAGAACATAAGAATAATATTCTGACAAAATAGTCGTGTCAGTAGCGGGCTGGTCTGGGCGAGTAGTATCGCGTGGATCTGGGCAGTGGGGCGGGTCAGTGCGTCGGCGATGTTCGAGGCTCCTTTTTTATAGGTGACTGTGTAGTGGAAATTTGACTCCAGGAAATCAAGCCACCGAATCTGTCGTGGGTTGAGGTGGGGCTGTGCGCGGAGGTACTGTAGTGATCGGTGGTCTGTCCGTACTGTCACGTTTGCGCCGGTCAAGTAGCAGCGCCACACTTTGAACGCATGCACGATCGCGAGTATTTCGCAGTCGTGTATCGGGTAATTTCGCTCGGGCAGATGCAGTTTTCGTGACTCGTATGCGATGGGCTGTAGGTCGTTGCCAAAGTCCTGTAGCAGTACGGCTCCAATGGCGATGTCGCTTGCGTCTGTAACAACCTCGAAGGGGCGTTGTGGGTCGGCGATGCGCAGGACGGGCGGTGAACAGAGAACATTTTTCAGGGCAGAGAAGGCAGCATGCTCTTTCTCCCCCCACGTAAAAACGACCCCCTTGCGCAGTAAATCCGTCAGCGGGGCGGTCAATCGTGCCATGTCGGGGACGAACCGACGAACATAATTAACGAACCCTAAAAAACTCTGCAGTTCCGTGGTGTTCGTAAAAAAACACCACGCTTT